AAGCAATGTTCTTTTACTATCCTCCCAACCCCTTCCTGCTATCCATTTACTTTAGGCATTTCTTTCATCCTATCTTTCTCTTTTAGTGACATTCTTTCTTTTATTCTTTCTTTCAGAGATTTTGCTTTGTTAGATTCGTTCTTTCTTTGTGTAACTTTCTTACATTCATTGCCTTTTTTCATTCATATTCCTTTCTTTTAGTGTCGTTCTTAATTATTTTTTCTTTCCGTGATTTTTTTCTTTCTTTCTTTCATTGACTTTCATTCATTTTTTTCATTCTTTTTTCATTGAGTTTCTTTCATTCTTTCTTTGAATAATGTACTTTTCTTCAATTCATTCTTTCTTTTGTCTTTCTTAAGTGACGTCTTTCCTTCATTTCATACATTCATTCATTCTTTCATTTATTTACTCTTTCTTTCTGTCACTCTTTCTTTCAGTGACTTTCTTTCTTTCTTTGAATAGCTGTGTATTTCTTTCATTCATAAATTTTTCTTTCCGTAACTGACTTCCTTCCTTTCATTTATTTAATTTTTCTTTCTTTCTTTCTTTCTTTCTTTCTTTATTTCTTTCTTTCTTTCTTTCTTTCTTTTTTTGAATGGCTGTATCTTTTTTATTTATTATTTCTTTAACTGACTTCCTTCCTTTCATTCTTTTACTATTTCTTTCTTTCTTTAAATGACTTTCTTTCCTTATTTGAATGGCTGTATCTTTCTTTCATTCTTTCTTTCTTATTTTCCTTAACTGCCTGCCTTCCCTCCTCTCATTTATTTACTCTTTCTTTCTGTCATTCCTCTTTCTACGATTTTAGCATTTGGCGCTCAGCGTAAGAAATTTGTTACTGGGATCCCTCTAGTCTGGCACAAGGCTGCAACACGCAGTGAAAAAATCGACTTTAAACTGATAGTTGTAGAAATACTTCGTAAGCTGGATTTGTTAAACAATAACACCAAACTCGTTCATCATGTTACTCACTATTTCCACCCCGCCCCATCTTGCCTTCAGTATATCCTGTGAGTGTCATATTCTCCAAGCTCAGCTTCCTGATTATGTGCACTACAAATGTCATGTCTCTTTCTGATCCAAAGCACAATCATCATTTTCGTTCGCATTTCCCTTAAAACTCATTACTCCCGCGGTCCGTCCATAGTATCCTTCAGTAGCACGGTGAATAAATATCGGGCTCTTTTGTTCTGTTGGCTGTTCGGTATGGATTCAATGATAAAATTTACCCTAACGCGAATTCTTAAAAATTGACGCAAGTTGAAAAATTCTATTCCATCGCGTTTTTTTGTTTTTTATTCTTTGATAAATTTAATCAGAAATAAAACTTCTTTCTTTTACTTCTAAATCGTTGACCATTTAAATAAGTTTTATTAAGACCCCTCCCCTCCTCGTTTATTGCGTATTTAGACAAATTCCGACCACACCCAGATATTAAAAATTCCATTTTGTATTAGATACTTCCGAATAGACGTGTGCCATCAGTTAGCCCCGGGAGACCATCGATCTTCCCCTGGGGTGTTTTGATTTAAGCCAATATGGCAGTGCTGTGTCTGCTGTATTTGTAGAGTGACTGTATCCGCTGCAAGGACTGTACTTGATGTCACTGTCCTCTAACGTTGCCCTTAACGACACTGTCCTCTAACGTTGCCCTTAACGACACTGTCCTCTAACGTTGCCCTTAACGACACTGTCCTCCAACGTCGCCCTTTGTCCTCCAACACTGTCCTCCTAACGTTGCCCTTGACGACACTGTCCTCTAACGTTGCCCTTAACGACACTGTCCTCTAACGTTGCCCTTGATGACACTGTCCTCCAACGTTGCCCTTGACGACACTGTCCTCCAACGTTGCCCTTAACGACACTGTCCTCTAACGTTGCCCTTAACGACAACTGCCCTTAACGACACTGTCTAACGTTGCCCTTAACGACACTGTCCTCTAACGTTGCCCTTAACGACACTGTCCTCTAACGTTAACGCCCTTTACGACACTGTCCTCCAACGTTGCCCTTAACGACACTGTCCTCTAACGTTGCCCTTGACGACACTGTCCTCTAACGTTGCCCTTAACGACACTGTCCTCTAACGTTGCCCTTAACGACACACTGTCCTCTAACGTTGCCCTTAACGACACTGTTCTCTAACGTTGCCCTTAACGACACTGTCCTCTAACGTTGCCCTTAACGACACTGTCCTCCAATTTGCCCCCTTAACGACACTCGTCCTCTAACGTTGCCCCTTAACGACACGTCCTCTAACGTTGCCCTTAACGACACTGTCCTCCAACGTTGCCCTTAACGACACTGTCCTCTTAACGACACAACGTTGCCCTTAACGACACTGTCCTCCCTAACGTTGCCCTTAACGACACTGTTCTCTAACGTTGCCCTTAACGACACTGTCCTCCAACGTGCCCTTTGCCTGTCCTTAACGCCCTAACGACACTGTCCCTAACGTTTAACGACACTGTCCTCTAACGTTGCCCTTAACGACACTGTCCTCTAACGTTGCCCTTAACGACACTGTCCTCTAACGTTGCCCTTAACGACACTGTCCTCTAACGTTGCCCTTAACGACACTGTCCTCCAACGTTGCCCTTAACGACACTGTCCTCCAACGTTGCCCTTAACGACACTGTCCTCCAACGTTGCCCTTAACGACACTGTCCTCTAACGTTGCCCTTAACGACACTGTCCTCTAACGTTGCCCTTAACGACACTGTCCTCCAACGTTGCCCTTAACGACACTGTCCTCTAACGTTGCCCTTAACGACACTGTCCTCCAACGTTGCCCTTAACGACACTGTCCTCCAACGTTGCCCTTAACGACACTGTCCTCTAACGTTGCCCTTAACGACACTGTCCTCCAACGTTGCCCTTAACGACACTGTCCTCCAACGTTGCCCTTAACGACTTAACGACACTGTCCTCTAACTGTCCTAACGAACGTTGCCCTTAACGAACGCCAACTTAACGACACTGTCCTCTTTAACGAACGTTGCCCTTAACGACACTGTCCTCTAACGTTGCCCTTGACGACACTGTCCTCCAACGTTGCCCTAACGACACTGTCCTCCAACGTTGCCCTTAACGACACTGTCCTCTAACGTTGCCCTTAACGACACTGTCCCTCCAACGTTGCCCTTAACGACACTGTCCCCAACGTTAACGACCCTAACGTTGCCCTAACGACATTCTGCCCTTAACGTGCCCTTAACGACAGTCCTCTAACGTCGCCCTTAACGAACCGCCCTTAACGACACTTTTCTAACGTTGCCCTTAACGACAATGTCCCACGACTCTTTGCCCTTAACGACACTGTTCAGATCATGAAAACGAAACAAAATGATGAATAACGGCAGAGAGAAAAGCTTTTAAGAAAAATAAACGGGCAATAAAAAGATCCTTGACGAATTTGCCCTTCGATTAAAACGTCCTCCAATCGCGTATTTAAAAAACGTTGCCCTTAACGAAAACGGATATTTCCTGCCAAAAACACTGTCCTCCAATATACGAATATATACAATAATCATGCGTTTGGGTTGCTTAAAACCGTCTTTAATACGTTGCCCTTAACGATGTTCCCGTTGAACAAGACTGACACGCTACTTTTGTTTAATTTAACGACACTATTAATGTTTATAATGACTCTTTTTTTTATCAGACTGAAAACGAAAACAAAATGATGAATAACAGAGTTCTTAAGAAAAATAAACGGGCAATAAAAAGATCCTTGACAATATCATTAAAACGTATCGCGTATTTAAAAATCGGGCTTTAAAAACGGATATTTTAAAAACATATATAAATATATACAATAATATGCGTATATAGCAATATAGATGTTATGAACAAGATATATACTTTTGTTTAATTTATATATTATTTATATGCCTTTTATATATATATATATATATATACTAATAAAATATATATATATCTTCATATATATATATATATATATATATATATATATATATATATATATATATATATATATATATATATATATATATATATATATATATATATATATATATATATATATATATATATATATATATATATATATATATATATATATATATATATATATATATATATATATATATATATATATATATATATATATATAACAAAAGGGAGGGAAGAACAAGGATAAGAAAAAATAAGCATTCTTTTTGTTCCTTTTTATTAGTTATATTTTTCGATCCACCACTTTATGGTGAGTAATATTTTTTTCTTATTTTTGGTCTTGAGACATTTTTGTTTTTATATATATTTTTACATATTAATATATACTTTTAAAATGCTCGTTTTTACAATCTTAATAAGATGTTGAACCCCGCCCCGACAAATGCTGGTGTGAAATATGGAAAACTAGCAAAATCACTTGAAGACAAGCTCAGGAAACACACAAACCAGGGATCACCCTAAGAGATATAAAAAGGCGGCATTTATTTGAAAACAGAAAATATGGAGAAGTTGAATAACGGATCAAATGTGTTTGTTTTTTCAAGTCGTCTGAGACAAAAGAAAAACAAGTTTTGCATTTAATTTTGTCTCGTCAGTTTCTTTGGAAGTTCCGTCTTGTTGTTATATTTCAACAAGATAACCTATCAAGGAATTTCTGCAACTTTAATTTTAATGCTGAATTCTTTAACTAAGCATATAGTCTTGTGCCAGACTAGGGTAAGCCCAGCTGCAAGTTTTTTACTCTAACCCCCAAATTTTAAAATGAAAGAAAGAAAGACACACAGAGAAAGGAAAAAAGTAAATCAGAAAGAAAGAAAGAATGAATGAATGAATGAATGAAATAAAAAATGAAAGAAAGAAAGAAAGAAAAAAGAAAGAAAGAAGGAAATGAATTATATGAAAGTCATTCAAAGAAAGAAAGGATCACTCAAAGAAAAAATGAATGACTGAAAGTCACTCACCGAAAGAAAGAAAAAAGAAAGAAAGAGAGACTCCCAAAGAAAGAATGAATGAAAGAAAATCACTCAAAGAAAGAAAGAAAGAAAGAAAGAAAAAGAAAGAAAGAAAGAAAGAAAGGCTTCCAAAGAAAGAATGAATGAAAGAAAATCACTCAAAGAAAGAAAGAAAGAAAGAAAGAAAGAAAGAAAGAAAGAAAGGCTTCCAAAGAAAGAAAATCACCCAAAGAAAGAATAGATGAGTGAAAGAAAGAAAAAAACAAACAAAGGAAGAAAGGCATCCAAAGAAAGAAAATTGCGCAAAGAAAGAATGACTGAATGAAAGTCACTCACAGAAAGAAAGAAAGAAAGAAAGAAAGAAAAAGAAAGAAAGAAAGAAAGAGACACCTAAAGAAAGAAAATTACCCAAGAAAAGAATAAATGAATGCCTGAATGACACTCAAAGCAAAACAAAGAGAAAGAAATTAACTCAAAGGAAGTTACTCAAAGAAAGAAAAAAGGCCTCCTGAGATAGAAAATCATCCAAAGAAAGTCACCCAAAGAAAGAAAGAAAGAATGAATGAATAAATGAATGAAAGTTACTCGAAGAAAGAAAGAAAGAAAGAAAGAAAGAATAAATGAATGAAAGAAAGTTACTTAAAGGAAGAGAGAAAAATAAATGAATGAAAGTTACTCAAAGAGAGAAAGATAGAATAAATGAATGAAAGATAGTAAAGTCACTCAAAGAAGAAAGAAAGAATGAAAGTCACTTAAAGAAAGAAGTAAAGAAAGACCCTCAAAAAAGTCACTCAAAGAAAGAAAGACGGAAAGTTGTTACTCAAAGAAAGGAATCGAGTAACATACTCCAAGACCGGAACAGAGAAAAACACTCAAAGACCAAAATTAAAGAGATACTAAAAGAAAGAAAGAATGAAAGAAATGCATGAAAGAAAGGAAGGAAGAGAGGAAAGAAAGTATGATTATTTTCTTTTCCTTAATCTCTGTCTGTCTGTCTTTCTGTCTGTTTGTCTGTCTGTCTGTCTCTCTCTCTCTCTCTCTCTGCACAAACAATAGTCTCATAAACATCTGGGGCTTCCATTAAGCCAAAAGAACCTTGACCCTATTGCAAGGGTGGAGTCAAAGAAAAAAAAACCCTAGTCCTTGCTCTCCCCAGATATATGCTTTTGTCGACTTCTCATATCAATGACATGGCAATATCTAAGCAAGGGTAATGGAGGCGATGGAGATGAACAAGAATACGTATGCTTCTTTCAATGGACAATATGCAATTATATATGCGTTAATAAATGCGCGGACATATGCACATGCACACGCACACACATCTTGTATGGATATCGGGAAGAGACTGCATAACTGCAAGGGAAAAAGGATATGTTAATGGGTAATCGCATAGCGACACACAGACATATAGATATACAGGGTGCGGCAAAAATACCTCCCACATATGACTCTTAGAAATACTTCCTACGTAATGGTAAGACATTAGATAAAGACAACACTGCCACTGATGACGTACCATTTTGTGGGAGGAATTTCTGTTGCATGCTGTATAGTCTTACATGAATGCACTCGTGTTTTAGCAGATTCAGTATATAGAAACACGGCCCTCGCTCCCTATTCTCTCTCTCCAAACACACACACACATACACACACACATACACACACAGATATATATATATATAAGTTTGGATGGTTCTGCACAAAACCTTCACCACTATAATCAAATATTGCTGGTGTCGGGCTGTCGGTTCCTAGGAACTGATCTGCTTGAACCTCATACGTCGAATTCGACGGGAGAGTCGACTATATGTATATATTGCATTGGGGGACATCGGCAATACAAAGAGATCTAGAAGAGTTGCCATTCATGACAACCTTCATTTCGCGATTTGATAAGAAAGACTGAATCAGTTTAAAAATTCGCCAAGGAATATATACCATAAACTTTCAACTTGTGACAAAGACCAGCATGCCAAATCCTGTCAAGTGCCTTTGAGATATCCAAAGCAACAACCCGAGTTTCACCATTCTTATATAAAGACTAATAGACTCTTTCAGCAATAATCGTTAATTCATCCGTTGTTGACGTAGAGAAGCGAAAACTGAAAGAAGGCTCTACGATGTGAAATGTTTAATCAATTCAGAGTTAATTAGAGCTTCTAACAGTTTGCCAAAAAGAGGTAGAAGGCCGATTGTTAGAACGACCAGACTGTCCACTTAAGTTCTTAAAGACTGGAACTACAGAAGAGGTTTTTAACAAGCAGGAAAGCAAGAAGCAGCAAGCCATTTATTTTAAAGTTTAGAGAACAGAAGCCAGTTTAGAGGCACATTTCTTAATGACAATTGTAGGGATACCATCACGTTGACATGCTTTTGGAGATCCAGTTTAGAGATGATAATAAAAACCAAGTATTATTTTATGTATATCACTCTGTAGAGACTTAGTCCTAAGTGGAAAATCAGACAATGATACTCTAGATGAGTCAAGAATTTGAAGAGAATATACGATGTTATTTTAACACCTCAATTTGAGTGAAGAGAGGATTTATAGAACACTTACATTTACACTAACACTTATTTAACACACAGCCGCCAGTATTCTCCAGAACCAAACTTGTTAGAGACTATACGGGGCCTTGTTCTATCAGCAAACAAAATATATCCTCTTTCAAGACATGTTTACAATTATTACGAGCAGATACAAAGAGGCGTCTGTTGTTTTCGGAACTATCATCCTGGTACAAAGGGAAAAAGTGTTTTCTGTGGGCTATAGCGTCTGAACAGGCCGGTGTGAACCAAGGAGAAGATTGTGGTTTCAGCTGTTATTTGCGAGAAAATCACCAATGCTGGCTTTAACCCACGAAGAAGAACAATCTAGGACACAATTCTCAATCAGGAAAATTAAGAATATCAATCTAAGGGGTGTCTCGAAATGAATCCCAACCAATATGATAGTAACAGAAAAAAGTATTGTGAATTCGAGGTTCCTGTCTAATAGACGACTCAAAAGAAATATCAACAGGTACTACAGCGTGATCCGAATTGCCAAAAGGACAAAGTTGTCATGCTCTACAAGAAGAGAAAGTAAGGAACAAATCAAATAAAGAAGAATGTCGATTAGATTTTATTAGGGAAGCAATTAGGGAAATCCAATTTTAGACTGAGAGACGGAAAACTTGAAAGTCTAAATATATAGGAATTTAAAAAAAAAAAAAATTTCCCCCTAAACAAAGCGGTTTTGCCACTAGTACGCAGTGGGGTGGATACAGAGATTGAAGTGAGAGAAAAGACTGGGTATAAGGGGATGAGGAAAGGATGAAAGATGAACAGGGTTCAAAACAACAGAAGATGGCGATTGGCGTTGTATTAAATTTTTGAAAATTGTAGTTATCAATGAAGCAAGTAAGCGGAAGGGAGTCTCACTGTAGGGAAATTCGAGAAAAGAAACTGTTCGAGTAGAAGTGACGGTTACATTTAACTATTTCACCAGTAAAAAGGTGAGAATTAGATGCTAATCTAGTAGCGCGCTTAATTTCATTCAGTCGGAGCACTAGGGAAAAAGCTCGTCTGTGTAGTTACCATGAAAATATTTGTAGAAAAGACAAAGGGAAGCTACATCACGTCGGTGAGAAAGTAAGATGCCAGACCAATCGTTACATTTCAGATCTTTCTTTAGATTTTATTAGTTTAAAAAGATTGAATTGATGAAGCAAAAAAAAGATTATTAAAATTTCATACGCTTTGTGATCATCGCAGGATTCTTGATTTTCTCACTGAAGTCATTAACTTCCACTGGATTTGAAATGTAGTCCCATGAAAAAATATATTTGAAGAAAGCTACAGGAATAAACGAAAGTTTTTTAAAAAACTTTATTGTACTCCGACATGTCGACTCCCACATGTCGACTAACATGTTGACTAATATGTCGACCCCCACATGTTGTCTAACATGTCGACTTCCACATATTGCCCAACATGTCGACTTCTACATGTCGATTTCCACATGTCGACTTCCACATGTCGACTCCCCACACGTCGACTCCCCGCATGTCGATTAACATGTCGACCTCCCACATGTTGCTTAACATGTCGACTCCCACATGTTGACTCCCACATAAAATATACAAGGAATATTTGTAATCATTTTATTTTATTTTTCTTATTACTATAAACATTATTTTTAGTATATACATATATATATATATATATATATATATATATATTTGTGTGTGTGTTTGAGTCGATGTCTATGAATATTTTTCTTAAGTAATTAAATTAATGACAGCGAATGCCGAAAGTTTCCTTATAACGAAACAGCTTATATTACTATTATTATTAGAGATGAAGAGAAAAGATACTACACTTTGATCCTAACACAATGGCCAGGTAATGAAGAAAAACGTAATTCGAGTCGCACTGGTTGCTCGGTCAATGAATGCCGAATGTTTCCTTATAAGGAAACGTCTAATATTACCATTAGCATTAGCATAATTGTTTATCGTGCACTTAATATAGCCATACATGTATCGTCTTATATTTGTAGGTACTGTTGTAAGGTAGATTTTGAGACCTTTCTGTTTTAATCTTTCAATTGTTGTGGACATTGTTCTATAGTCCATTATTTGTTTCCAACATTGTAAGGATGATTCTTAATGCCAACAGGGTTACCGTATTGATTTGCCGCCGCCATTTTAATTAATTATGGCTTTTGGAAGATTTTTTAAAAGCCTATAACGGGACGAATACACGGGGTCAGTATTTATTAGTGCATGTCACGGACGGATGGTGATTTGAGGGAGGATCTTGTTGAGAATGGGAGACAGTAAAAGCTTTGGTAAAATGAGTGAGTGACCTTTAGTATACTGAGGTACCCTGTGGTTGAATCGTTGATTTGTCGGTACCAGTGTAGTTTCGTTCATTTGGTTAGATCTTTGGACGAGAAACTTTTCAGCACCCCTCTTTTATAAATTTACGATATAATAACTACATTATCGAGCAATAAAATGTGCGTGCTTTCACGTTTCTAAGTATTTATAGTCCAGTTGTATTTGTAGTCTATACAAGAGTTCTTCACTTAACGACTTACTCGTTTAACGACCTTCCGGACTTATGACTCGCTATAAAATCTCACAAATTTCTTCTTCTTTGTTCATTCTTCAAACTCCCCCTCTCTCACTCCCTCTCTTTCGATCTCTCTCCCTCTCACTCTCTCTCTCTTCTCCCTCTCTTTCTCCCCTCTCTCTCTCTCTCTCTCTCTTTCTCTCTCTCTCGATTTTTCTTTCTCAAACAATGTTTCCTCATTTTCACGCAACGTTCTGTCAGATTTTTCTTTCTATCATTCTGTGTTTCTTTCTTTCTTTTTTCTTTCTTTCTTTCCTAGTTCTGAGTATGACGATAAATTACATCTGGCAGCAAGGCCCCTTTGGTCGGGATATTGGGGGGTTTTGAAGAGCGTGGAACCACCTCTTAATTGCTGTCATTCCCATCATAGATTTTTATAGTAAAAATATCAGCAACATATTTTTATATAAAAAAATAATTACAAACGTTACCTATTTATAGTAGAATTACCAACAATAGATTTTATAGCAAAATGACCAACAATACATTTTGTCAGTAGTTGAAGCCATAAAATTGTGTTCAAAATATTTAGATTTAGGCAATAAATACACTACAATTCAATAGTTTAAAGCCACCCACAGAATTAACTTGACAGAAAAGTGAAATGAAAAATAGCTCTTAGAGTCATTGAAAAAAGAATTGAATCAGTTATTATTATATTTTAAGAAACTTTTGCAACAAATGCCAATATTTTGTGCTGAAGTAATCAAGGCTAAAGGAGGATATTTTGACGACAGCAAAATTAAAACATAATTTTTTTTTCTTTTTGTCATAATAAAATTTCTCACTTTTTTTAACCATGTATAATAATTTTCTCTTATTTAAAGTACAAAACAACTTCTTTTGGGGCCAATTTAAAAAATTAGCCCAGGGGTTACCTCAAACCTTTGAACTGTAGTGTAATCCATAGAGGTTGATATGCCGCTAAACAAAATCAACCAATCAAAATCCTTTCTTTGTCTTTCTTTTTGTTGCATTCATTCATTTGTCACAATTTTCCATCAATTTTTCTAGCTTCTTTTATTTATATTTGCGTTTTCCCTTTTCCATTCTCAATATCCCATTTGATTTTTCAACTATTAATTACATTTTTAGTTGCATTCTTAACTAGTACCGTATATACATGTGTATACAGAAATTTATGTATAAACAAACTTTATGTATAGTCCGAACCCTGAATTCTTTGTATGTATTTTAAACCACTGCAGGAAAGAAATATTACATATGTAAAGTGCAATCGGTCACCGAAAATGTACGTTTTTTAACCGCTTCAAAAAATCACCTGTGTATAGTACGACAGCCAATTTCTTTTGCGTAAAGCTAATCTTAAAAGTTCGCACTAAAACTCGACTATAGACGGTATTACTGTTTTATTAAGGCGTTGTTCATTCTTAATTTTTCCTTTTTCATCACCCCATTCTAGCCTTTATTTCTGTATCTTTCATTTTTTCCCCGTTCATTTTTTTTTCATTCATTCAGTGCTTTCTTTTTGCTTTTATTCCTTTTTCTTTCATTTTTCTCTTTCATTTTTTCATTCATCCAGTGCTTTCTTCTTGCCTTTATTCCTTTTTCTTTCGTTTTTCTCTTTCATTTTTTTCATTCAGCCGGTGCTTTCTCTCTTTCTATCTCTTTCCCCTTTCCTAAACCTTGCCCTTTCCTCTTCGACGATTATTAACAGTTCATTAGCGCATGCACGTATATATTAAAAAATATTCCCGCACGCAAATATCTTGACACATCAACAGAGACGATGACTATGGCCTCCGACTATGAACATCCTGTCTCGACAGATCCTTTTTTTGTCCTCTGGTATGCGATAATGACGATGACGACGACAACCAGAAAAAGATTTGATGAATAAATTGGTGCGATTGGCGGGAAGCGAAGTCACAATGATAGGGCTACACGTGACGTGAGACTAGATTCATTCATGAAATGCATGGCTCCTGGGCAGGAATTCAAAGAACGTCCACGGGATTTAAATTCCGTGGGTTAATCCGAACTGAATAATAAAACTGAATGAATAAATAAAGTAAAAAAATAATAGACGTTTTCTAATACGACAATTACTGCTTAAGACGTTACAAATATGGTGTTTTTTTTTAAAACTTACTGAGTCACTCGAACTCTTTGGGAAATTCGTACCAAGGACAAATATATATATATATATCACACGCGCTCTCTCTCTCTCTCTCTCTCTCTCTCTCTCTCTCTCTCTCTTTTCACACTTTCTTTTCATGCGCCATGTCCTTTCAGGACGTAGGCGCTCATGGCTCTCCACCCCACTCTATCCCTTGCATCTCTCAATAAGTTCCTTCCCTCGGCTTCCTCCCCCTGATCACGTTCTGTCATCCACTTGCTTATCAAACTGACCGCAATTGTTCAGTGTCCCGACGTTCCATGTCCCGAGGGTTATTTTGTACAAGGCAGACCAGCATCTCATCTCGGGATGCAATATATCTTGAAGAATGACTACTCTAAATATGTCTTCCCAAGAAATGCTAATGGTCGTGGTAATCCAACTGGGATCAAAGTGTAGTGTCTACATTATGTCTCTCAATTGTGCTTTTGTCTTCGATCGGAACGCAACTGAATAATTAACGAAAGGTGCCCGGTCTCGGGAAACAGCTCCCCGCGCCAGTACCTTCTTCATTGCACTAAAGAGAGCAGATCGGTAGTAATACCGATGCCAGTGCAACCGACAATTGCAATGGCTGGGCTATTTTGGGACACGATCCAAGTGCACGCATTCTGGATCTCCACATTAAACTGACCTTATATCACAATTTTCCAACGTGAAGTAAATACGATCTGCCTTCGAGAGGTCATACTATATTTTAGCTCTCAAAGAAACTGTTAGTATAGAACTTAGGATTCTGGCTAATTCAACTGTAGAACAATGAGATATTGTTACCATTCTAGTAATGCACTTAAATTCATAAAGTCTAGATACCATAGCGAATAACTCATCCAAAGAATTACCATGGAATTAGTTATAGAAAAGGCAGAGGGAAGTAAAGGCAGTGGGAAAGAACCTGAAGACAACACGCCAGGTCAAGACCAATAATATTGCAGATTCTTCTTTAGATTTCGTCAAGAATCTCTAAATATATAACAGGAGCACCGGACCATATGTGGCATCAAAATTCTAAACATAGACGAATAGTAGAATTAGAAATACAGGGTGTCCATAATGTTCGTGTACACTTTAAAAAATTTATAACTGTTTATGTTATAAATTATATTAATATTATAAATTATATTTTATGTTATAAATTTTAATGTACCTAGTTTTAAGTATAGCTAAAATAACTAATGTGATTTCAGGCATTACTGTAAATCAGTTGGCAAATGTTTTCCGTGAACTGCAAAATCGTATTACCCTTTGTATTGCTAATGATGAAGGACATGCGGAAACTTAAATAAAATTTCGATAAAACCTTAAAAAAATATAGATTTACTTCTTTCTAATCCTTTTGACAACTTATTTCTATCGCAAATACAAATAAAGTTATAACTTTATGGACACCCTGTATGTAAGACAGATTCTGGATAGAAAAATTGTTTAGCACAACACAGTGAACCAACTTTCTTAGCAGCTGACCTAATAATGGAAATGGATTTAATGTAGTCTTTCCACTTCATGTCATGTTAACCCGAGAAGACGCAACCAGTCACTCTCCTGGAGGTTAGCATCAGCCATACTGATGGAAGACAGAAAGGGGTAGATGAGATTTGTGGGTTGAGCAGCCGTCTGCAATAAGACGAGTGCGCTTGTAAACGGGTAGGACATGTGGTCATTGCGTAGTTAGAGCGTTGGAACCAATTCTGCAACGCCAGCGAGTATTTTAATGTTATAAGAAAGGGGGACTATAAACTTCACCTGAATGGAGCAGCGACAACTTTACCTACTGAAGGGATCAAATGCAGGATGCAGTTAAAGAACTTGAATTAGTATCAGCTGCCATAGTTTCTCTCTCTCTGGGACTGTCCTCAGCGTCTTGGGTTTAAAAAAACAATTTTCTGTTAAAGAAAATAATTCGCCGGTGTTGCTAGAAAGTTTCGGCGGCTAAATGGAGAATAAAGATATATGCCATCCTTTAACAAGGACCTCATCAATCAAATTCTGATAATTTTATCTTCAGTTGCTGGGAAATGAATAGCCTATCCTCGCAGGGGATTGTGATTTGGGATGGTGTTTGTGTTTCTGGATAGAATAAACATGCCTGGTCAGAATAAGGTTCTTGTTATAATTTCTGGAACAATGACTCCCTCTCAAGTCTAGTTGAATCACCCAGTGAAAAAACTTGATGTAAAATTGGATACAAGGTCGTGTGTCATCGTTTGACAAGAGCTTCATCAATCAAATCATAATGTACCAGGCTACCTTCACTTGGCAAAAGTGTGGAGAGGTCGAGGCTAGCTTGTTTTTAGAAAGCAATAAGATGAGTAAATATTGAATGGATAGCAGGAAAAAGGGATCAAAGTTTAACATTCACACGGTGACCGTAACCCAAATAAGGGTGTGACATTCTTGCCGAGGAAGAACTGCGATAATGGTAATGATGTTAAAGCATCAAAAATCACCTGATGAATGTTTCCAAGAGTCATTATTTCCTTGTCCACACTAGTCTTTCTTTATATCTGCCATATCCTTTCAGGACGTAGGCGATCATGGCTCTCCACCTCTTTCTATCCCTTGCAGCTCTCAACAAGTTCCTTCCTTCTGCCACCTCCCCTAGACCACGTTCTGTTATCCACTTGCTTAAGTCTGACAGGTATTTTCACGCGTTGTTTTCCTTTGTCTCTCTTTCCTTCTATTCGACCCGTGAGTATCAAATTCTCTAGGCCCTTCTTCCTTATTATGTCCCAGAAACTTCAGCTGCCTCTTCCTGATATTAAGTATAAGGCTCCTCCTTGTTTGCAAACTCTCCAAGATCTCATCGTTGCTCACATGCTCGGTCCATGATATCCTTAGCATCCTTCTGTAGAACCACATCTCTGCCGCCTCGAGTTTCTTCTTCATCTTTGAGGAAATCGTCCAACATTCGCTGCCGTAAAGATGTCACGTAACAGTTCAGTATAGTTTTCTTTGTTACCAAAGAAATCCTCCTGTCTCGCAATACTCTACCCAGCTTTGGAATGCGTCCTTGGCCATCCCAATACGTCTACGGATCTCAGTGTCGCACATACCGTCTCCTGTCAAGACGCTTCCCAGGTATTTAAACTTCCGCGTCTGCTTGATTCTAGTGTTCCCGACCTTCAGATCGCATTTCGGGCTCATCCACTTACTGACGACCATGCACACTGTTTTTTCGTAGTTTATGTTTAGTCCTTTCTTCTCACTCTCCGTTGCTACCTTCTGTAGGAGATTTTGTCCACACTAGTAGGGAAGTGAATTTATAATGTGTGCGTACGTGTGTGTTTGTGTGTGTGTGTACACAACGTCAGATTTTACCGTACAACTCAGTTTATTTTTACAAGGTTAATGAATCTTATTTTTTTAATGCGACATATTTTTGTTATTTCATTTTTAGCTGATACCCGTATTTAAGTAGACGCTCCGTTCATTTTAAACAGAATTTATGTTGTCTACCGGCCTGCAAATTCGAGAAAACGTAATAAAGAAAATGCGCTCTCCGACAGGATTCGAACCTGCATCCCCCGTTGCAGGAGGAAACTACCGTCTGATCCGACGTGTTTTTACTGCTCGGCTACGAAAAGCATTTCTTTGTTAAGTTTTCTCGGGTAGGAAGGCCAGTAGACGAAATAAATGCTGTTTAAAATAATCAGAGCGTCCACTCAAATACTGGTATCCAATGAATCTGATGTTTGAAGTAATGACAATATGTCGGATTAAAATAAAATCTGTCTATATTTCTGAGTTGATTTATTATGTACATTATTTACATTATTCATACTATTGTCCTTATGTTTGTCCGACCAGAAATTGGCACGAAAACAAAGATGAGGACAATAAACCAAATAATGTAAATAGTGTGTCAAATAAAATCCATTAATTCTTTAGAAAATACTTTGTTTACGTTTCGAATGCTTGATTGTGAATGTCTGCATGACCGAGCGGTTAAAGCAAATGCTGGAGTATATAGAGATCATCTTAAAATGTATTTATATGATGGATATTCTATGTGACTTTTAGCGCATAATACTAGAAATTAGAATTATATTAGGAAACCTTGCAATTATTGTATGGTGCGTAGAAAAACACAGGATTGGTTACCATATTGTAAATATATACACCGCATAAACTCGTGTAACGCGCGATGTTTATTTTCTATACAGCTACACATTTTGACTACAGTATATGGATATATAGTTTGGTCAACGGTGAAGCCAGAAGTTGCAGTATATATGCTAATTTCATATCACGTGTATGATACAACACCCTTTAAAACTAGCTTCAAAATTAAGTCTTCAAATATTGCATGATACGCATATATATATATATATATATATATATATATATATATATATATATATATATATATATATATACATTCATTTCTGTAGTTCACTGCTACCAGCAAGCAGAAATCTAAATGAAAATAATCGAGGAATCTAAATGAAATAATAATAAAAACGAAAGAATATTGATATACAACCCAGAGTGTCTGAAGATTTTAATTCTTTAATATTTTTTTTTGAATATATATATATATATATATATATATATATATATATATATATATATATATATATATATATAATTTGTCTGAGGATCGCAAAAGCGTGAAACCTAGGGTTACAAGCTCATATCCATACAACTAAGTATGTTTGCTCTATCACTGATATTGACCGCTTTCCAATAAGTATCGCACATATATAATATATATATATATATATATATATATAAATTATAAAACACACATATATATATATATATATATATATATAAATTATATATATGTGTGTGTGTGTGTGTGTGTGTGTATAACAAAAAATCGGATCAGCAAAAAAGTTTGCAAGCAAGGATTAATCAACCCATATGAGCCAATATTCGTAAGGACAACCCGGACAATTTGCGTAGGTGCGTTAACGCACTGCTTCGACGATTTGAATATTGCAGCCACATATGGTGTTTCTGCTATATCTTTAGGAATTCTTGATAAAAATTCAAAGAAGAATCTGCAATGTTATTAGTCCTGACCTAGCATCTTGGTTTCAGTCACTTTCCCGCCACGTTTGATATATTGAAATTGTCATCTTTGATAATGACTTATGTAAGCCGAAAGCTTAGATTGGATTAAAACATGTATCAATATGGTGATTTCCTTTCGTCTTTCAACGATAATGTGATTATGCTTATCAGACACTATGAAAGGAACTTACTTGAAAATAAATAGACAAAACTTGTCTATATTATTTAATGAAACATGCATATATATATATATATATATATATATATATATATATATATATATGCATGTTTCATTAAATAATATAGACAAGTTTATATATATATATATATATATATATATATATATATATATATATACGATTTATCTATAGGAGGATAAAATACATACTTTGGATGTGCTCTAATAGTTGTGAAAATGTGTCAAAGTTTTTAGATTCGACGTATATGTTAGCACTGAAGTCAAATGATGAAGAAAATAACAATGTGTACTTACCGTTGTATCATCATCATCATCATCATTCGGGGAAATATCCTCTTGGGAGTCTGTTCGACAGAGCAGTGGTTCTCGAGAAAAAGCTGTTCGAGTGGAACTTATCATTTTATTTGCTGATAAATGCAAAAAAAAAAAAACTCACTGCAAATAACGATGAATATATAATTGAATCAAATGTAATTTCACTCTATTTTTTGAAGAACAAAGTTCTGAAACAAAAACTGAAATTATTTATAACTCAGACTAGTAATAATCAATGTTGTTACCTAATCAAAATTATCTTTGTTTATTTTATTATGAAATAAAATAGTGTTATAATGAGAAAAGTAGGAGCTATTAAGCAGAAGTCTCTTTGGATATTATTAGACTTCCCTACTGACTTTGTCTAAAATGCTTTGCTGACCTTTACACACTTCAGTTGGGAAAGAGGAAGAAAATTCACGGCACACAACAATAAAATCTTGAGGGAAGTCTGTCGTTGTTATTTGTCGACAATTTATGGTTTCGTTTCCCAGAATCAAAATACCTGAGCCAAGTGAAGATTGGGTTAATATTAGGCGTCAGCTGTAGAGCCAATATAGGAAAGATAGTCTCTGTAGTCTATGATTAATAACTTGGGCGTCCAACGATTTCATCCCTGTGCCAAACTAAGCAATATCTAGATTCTCCCATCAAGGTTAGTAAAGGGTATAGAAAAGGCGAGGGCGTCGGACATTAAAGAACTGTGATGGTAAATTGGCCAATAAAAATAAGGTAAAAATATGTACTGGCCTCCATTTTGTTTTTTCTGACGTAGGTGTAATCATCTATCGCTATTTTATTTATTTAATGTGTTTGTTTTTTTACTTTTTACACTGGTTCGCTCACTCTTTTTCTCTGTCACTCTCTTCCCATTTCTATATCTCTCCCTTTTCTATTTCTCTTTTCTTTATTCTTTCTCCTTGTTCCTTTTCGAACTTTTCTTTCTCTCTCTCATTCTTTTCTTCTCTCTTTTTCTCACTTTTCCTTTGCTATCCAGCTTTCTCTCTCTCTCTCTCTCTCTCTCTCTCTCTCTCTCTATCTATCTATCTATCTATCTATCTATCTATCGCTTACTTTCCCAATCTTTCTTTCTGTTTCTTATTCTTCCTACTCACTACTTATTCGTTTGGTTTCACCCATTACTTTGATTTTTCTTGCCTTCTTTTTCCCTTACTTCTCTCTCTCTCTCTCTCTCTCTTTTCTTCTTTTTCTTTCTCTCTATTTTTATATTCCTCTCTTTTCCTCATCTCTCGTTTTCTCCTTTTCTCTGTTTCTGCTATTCATCTCTGTCTTTCTTTCTGTTTTTCTCTTTTCATCTTTTTCTTCGCTTTCTCTTTTTTGTTCTCTTTCTTTCTTTATTTATTTCCATACTCTCTTTTTTTATCTCTCTTTCTCTCTCACTGTTGCAGTTTCTCTTTCTCATTCTCTCCTTCTCTGAGACCGACAGAAATTTTTGAAGAAGCATGTGCCACGCTAACCTTGGTGTGTCGGCGGGAATTTACGTCGACCCACATTCTTTCATTACAAGACGAGATACATCCGATAACAAAAATACACGCCATTCCGATATGCGCATGTGCGTAAGCATGCGCTGAATGACGGGGGAAAGACGTTTTGCAGTACCGTGGCTCATCCGGTAAAGTCGTCGCATATTTAAAGCAGCGCCTGCAACAGCCATTGTGTCATTGATACAACTGGTGACTTTTAACGACAATATTAAATCTAAATGTCGTTTTTTTTCTGTTTGTACTTTCGTTGTCATTAAAACTTCTCATGCTCACTGTCCTGTTGATACGGACATGAATTACTGTCGTCATATTGACGATGATAGGCCATCTTCCAACCCAACACCAGACATGTTACCCGAGATGAGCAGATGCATGTGGGGAATGTTCTTTAGCGCGTGCCGCTCAACCAAAAGTGAGTGAAGGCGGTGCGGGGGACAGGGTAAGGGTGTGGGGCTATATAATCTGAAGATGATGGCAGGAGCACGTTTTCTGCAGAAGAGAGGGAGACATCAGGTCGGGGAGAAATGGGTAGATGAGGAGGGCCACCCAGACTAACGCTAAACATTCCAGAACTCACATTATCTTTGGCGTGAGATTTTGCTAAGTTTGGTAACGGTACCATATTTCGGCGGGAAGAGAGCGAGAATTGCACTTATGAGATAGATAGATAGATAGATAGATAGATAGATAGATAGATAGATAGATAGATAGATATGAACAGACTGAGATAGATAGATAGATAGATAGATAGATAGATAGATAGATAGATAGATAGATAGATAGATATGAACAGACTGAGATAGATAGATAGATAGATAGATAGATAGATAGATAGATAGATAGATAGATAGATAGATAGATATGAACAGACTGAGATAGATAGATATGAACCAACTGAAGTAGATAGGTAGATAGATATGAACGGAGATAGATAGATCGATCGATCGATAGACAGGTAGATATGAACAGATTGAGATAGATAGATAGATAGATAGATAGATAGATAGATAGATAGATAAAGATGTAAAAAAGAATGAAGTCTCTAAGCAGACTTAGATTGATCAATATTTATTGATATTTTAGGTTTGTAACCGGCACTTCGACTTGGTTAGCGAGCTTGTCTCGCTTGATTGATTACGGCTGAGTAATCAATACGTTTCTCATTGGTGCTCGTTACTTTCAGCCTTGTGCCACATCTAAACTATGCTTAGCAAATCATTTTTTCGGTTTGTATGGTACAAGGCTATCTGTATGCAGTAGTAAGTAAGGATCTCACAACTGCAGTAATAGTCTTCTAATCACTGCTCAATAAAGACCTTTTTTTTTCTTACATAAGATTAACTTATTACATCTGAATAAGAGATAACGGGAAGACACACACACACACACACACACACACACACACACACATAGGGTGGTCCGAAAGTCTTGTCACCCCTACCAAAAATTAATCAGGTCAATAGAAGAATAAAGGCACATGTACTGGATTCGGTTTATTCACTTTCATTGACGCTATCACACATCGAAATGGTCTTGGCAGGCATGAACTGGCTTCTCCTCGGGGATATACGACTTTTATCGGATGTCCTGGCACACCACAGTTCTAATCGTCCACCCAGGCACAAGAGTGTGGAGATGAAATGTGTGGGAAAGGGAAGAGAGTGGGATAGATAAAGAAAGAGAAAAAGGGTGAGGGAAGTAGAGAGAGGGGAGGAGAGAGAGAAAGAGAGAGAGAAAGAGAGAGAGAAAGAGAGAGATGAGAAGAAAGCGAGAGAGAAATAAAGGGAGAGAGAGAAAGAGAGAGAGACATGAAGCGAGAGAGAGATAGAGAAAGATTCGCCGCAATTCATTCAAAGTGTTCAATAAGTGATCAAAGTAATCCCGGAAAATCATTGATTTCTCTCTCTATTTCTCTCGCTCCATCTCTCTCTCTCTCTCTCTCTCTCTCTCTCTCTTTCTCTCTCTCCTTCTCTTTCTCTCTCTCCATTTTTCTCTCTCTCTATTTCTTTCTCTCTCTCCCCCCTCTCTCTTCCTCTTTTACCCTCACCTTCTCTTTCTCTCTCCACCCCACACTCTCCGCTTTCCCCCACTCTCCCTCTCCTCCTCTCTCTTTCAATATCCTCAGAACCCTGTGTACAAATAACATCGTCTAATTTAGAAAGATGGTAATTTTGTCAGCACCTAAAAAAGTTGGCACTCGTGCCAAAATCTATTTTACACATTTATAAGTCTACCATTCGACTTTGCTTTGAATATTGCAGTCACATGTCACAGGTGCTCCTGCTATATACTTAGATATTCTTGATAAAATACAAAGACGAATCTGCAATGTTATCGGTCCTGAACTGACATCTCGGCTTCATTCTCTTTCCCATCGCCGTAATGTAGCTTCCCTGTGTCTATTCTATAAAAGCTTCCATGATAATTGTTCTGATGAACTTTCAGCTATGGTACGAAGGCTTTGTTAATTTAAGCGTAGTACAAGGTCTCATCATTTTACAGTTGAAATGGCTAAATATAACCGTAAGTTCTATGATAACAGTTTTTTCTATCGCACTTCTCGCTTGTGGAACTCTCTACTGGCTTCTTGCTTCCCAGTGAACTTTGTTCTTCAAAAATTTAAATGCAATGTTAATCCTTATCTTCTGTCTTCTTAATTCCTTATCTTTTATTGTTCTCTCTCCGTAATAATATTTTTCTCTTATTCTCTAACACTCAGTAACCCCTTAGTTGGTTTATTGCCTTGCTTGAGGTGAAAAGTAGTTCATAAATCTCTGTGTTCGACACATAGTGCAGCATTGACTGCATGCCTTTTCGTTTCTTGTCTTTAGGATTTAATCATTTTAAAGAAATATTCTCATAATTAAATGTCTTCAAATACACCTAGTTACCATATATATATATATATATATATATATATATATATATATATATATATATATATATATATATACATACACGCCAGTTGGATGTTTTCTATCCGAGCTGTTTGCGTGCCGTCTGTAGGCTTCAAGTTTCAAGTTAGGACATCCAACGTAGACCTGTTTAACAGGTGTAATATTGGAGGAATCGAGACTTTCCTCATACAGTCTCTGTTACGGGGGACTGGTCATGTCTTGAGAAAGTCTGATGATAGCATACCCAAGAGTCTAGTGTACAGTCAGTTAGATCAGGGCTACAGGAATGTAGAACACAAGCTGAAGGGCAACTTGTCAGCTGTCAATATACCTCATAACACCTTCGAGCGCTTAGCCTTGACGCGGGTAGAGTGGAGATCAACATGTTTTTGTGGACTCAGTCAGTTTTGAATCGTCTTCAAGAAGCGAGAGCAAGATCTAGAAGGTCAGCCAATCTAACAGTGATTTCGTCCCACAGTCCTCACTCTTGCTTCATATGCGGCCTCTTTTGTAAATTACTAGCGGGTCTTAAGTGCCACTTCAGATTATCGCACAAAATTAATAACTGAATCATTTGGTTAAGTTGTTAGATCCTAATACGTCGAAACCGACGGGAGAGTCCATTATATATATATATATATATATATATATATATATATATATATATATAGGGTGATTGAAAAGTAACTCCCCATTTTATAATATAATTTATAAGTTCGATTCCTGTCGGAGGACGCTTATTTTCTATGAAAATTTCCCGGACATTCAGGCCGGTAAATGTCGTTAGTACTGTCTATTATAAACAGAGCATTTACTTAAATATTTGTATCTATAAAAAGAACGTATAAACATAAAAATGCCTTAAAAATATATATATATATATATATATATATATATATATATATATATATATATATATATATAAGTATTGATTTGTCTTAAAAAAAATTAAGTAATCTTTCATAAAATATAATCTAAAAACTCTGTCACCCATATAAATTGTTTGGATATTGTTGTATCGGGTTATAATATAGGCCTGTGGCTTCTACAAATGTTAAAACGAATGACTTGTTATGGAGATTTTAGACTTTGTAGCGAAGATAATAATGAAAAAAGGGTGGGTTGTGGTGGCAGAAGCTGGGATTTTGTGGTTGAATGTTGTGGGTGCGAGTTAATATTACAGATATAATATATATGACCTTATATTTACTAACACGTGCATCTGTCATCCATATAATCAAATCGAAAAGTTATGCCAACATAAACAATACATAGAATTAGGCCACAAGTCAAAACATTTCTTGGAACGATAATAGCTATTCTCAAAATTATCGACGATAAATTCATGAACTGCTTTCATTCAGACGTTTCGACTGTGTTTGAAACGTTTCCACAGTGGTTCAACCACTCCATTTTAGAACCTTCTTCAGGTTCAGAATCTATAAGGTTCTTTCTTGGAAGCTTCTTAAAATTATAGCCAATAAAATTTTATCAATTGTTTTTCTTTCTTTCCCAATATACCTTTCTGTCTTTTTATCTCAACCTATTCTTTCTTTCTTTCTTTCTTTCTTTCTTTTTCTTTCCCGATATTCCTTTCTGTCTTTTTATCTCAAACTATTATTTCTTTTTCTTTCTTTCTTTCTTTCTTTTTTTCTTTCTTTCTTTCTTTTTTTCTTTCTTTCTTTCTTTCATATCCTCTTGTTCATACCTTTGGTGGTAAATTCTGGACAATCTCCTCACAGACGAAGAAGAAGTTTGGTTTGGTTTGGTTTGCTGTATGGCATATCAACCCCAATGGGTTATTTAATGCCGACAAGATTTTTATTGCAGGTAATTTTTTTTCAAAAATATATTGCTAGTATTTTCTTTTTTTTCTTCGAAAATGTATTACCGGCAATATTTTTTCCTTCAAAAAATTCATTGCTGATAATAATGTATTTCTGGTAATAATGTATTGCTGGTAATAATCTATGGCTGGTAATAATCTATTTCTGGTAATAATTTTTCCTTCAAAAAATTCATGGCTGGTATTAAAACCTATGTTTACACTTTCTTAGTGTTTTAACCCCAATTTAAGGGTTAACTATTTACCCATAGCTGAGACCCTAACAGGTACTACCACCCCGGGTCAGAGTTGATCTGGGAACACCAGCAATTCATCGGTGGTTCCACGCTTCTCAAAACCTCCTACCGTCGGATGTAGTTTATCGTCTTGCCCAGGACTCTTAATTGTTTTCTATCAGAAGTTTCAGCAATATCTTTCTTTTGTTGTTGTTTCTGTCTGAATTTCTGGAATGAGTTTACAGTATGTACATGCGGACTATTATCTTCATCTTTGTTCTTATTATCACAACACCTCGGAAGTTGGGTTCACCGGCCTTTACCTAGTGCTTGTCAATCTGGCTAACGAGAATTTTGAACTGAACCTTTTATGTATTTAATCTAAGGGGATAAATTGTTCTCGTTTCAGGGACATCACATCTAGTATCTGTCTATATTTTTGAGATGAGATTATGGACACTATTTACATTATTTGGACTATTGTTCGCATCTTTGTCGCCATATTTATTACAACGCTCCGGCCTTCTTCAGGTGGTAAAGGTTAAGGCAGTAGAGAACTTGGAGAGCGGAATTAACAGGAGATAACTAACAACTGACATCCATTAAACATGGAACTAGAACAGTCTGCCCCAGTGAGCGAAATAAAGGGTTCAGTTCGACATTCCAACCTCCTAAAGAAGGCCGAAGCGTACAACGGCCGAAACGTTGTAATAAATATGGCGACAAAGATGAGGACAATAGTCCGAATAATGTAAATAGTGTATATCACATCTAGTTTTTATTTAGTTTCCTAGTAATTGTGGGTTCAATCCCTGGTTCCGTATTGCGGACGAATCTCATACTCATTAGCAGTAGAAGCAACTGACTTACGACACAAAGTTTAATAGGATTGGAAAATATTATCTGTTATAAAATAAAAAAACAAAAACTATATCTGGTAACCATGAAAAGCGTATTGAGAACACTCTGTCCATGTAAATTAAATAAAAGTTTCGATTTGAAATTCTAGAAATGTTACCGAGTAGAAAAAGAGGCACCTAAACAAGACCTGATGGTGCAACAACCAAAAAAAGCAAACTACTAACGAATAGTAAGGAATATAATAGTCAGAATTCAACTAAAGAAGCTAGTGGAATTCTTCGAGACTAGGAACGAGAATTCGATGAGCCGAGATCTAATTGCTGTTGCTGGATGACGGTTAGGTGACATCTCATGCGCATGTCTTCGTTTGCCATAATTATTCTTGGGATAGATAGTGGAATGTTTTTTTTTAAATCATTTCACCCCAAGCAAGGCAATAAAGCCAATAGGACGCAAACGGTTACCGATTGTTAGAGAATATGAGAAAAACTATTATTAATGAGAAAGAATGATATAAGAATAAAGAAGACTGAAGTTAATGATTTCGGTGCGATTCGAACCTGAAACTCGCATTAAGCAGTTGAGGTTGATTTATCCGAGTAGAATGAACGCACAACAGACAAACCAGGATGTTGGGAGAGTGACGCGATTTGCATATCCCTATGCGAATTTAATCCAAACACCCGGATTGATTAATTTGCGATACAATAAATGAACGGACGAAATAAACGCTGCGGGTGGGGAGAATGGTGTTCTTAAAGCTGTTTCTAAAGACAGCCAGGGTGGACAAGAAACTGAAACGAGTGACCGTGTCTCTTTTCTTTTGTCTTTTACTTCATGGGGACTGGACAATTTTGTCCTTGCCCACACGTATTTAGTCACCGCACATTAAACTGACCATGTGTCAAACCTCAGCTTTTAAGGATATTGGTAAGCGAGCTTGTCAGTATGACTATTACTCAGAACCCAATCAACTTCAAATATGCTTGAGCCTCATGGGTCTTTGCTCGTAGACAATACCTTTTACCCTTGGGAGTGGGACTTAAACAATTATCTTGTGACCGAGGTGTACTTTAATACTAATATGGAAAGTGCCAACGGTGCTTGGGTAATTTTTCTCCCTTGGTCCATGGATACGTGGGCTTCCACTGAAAACTATACAACACATTGGCCTCAATACCCAAAACATCTTTCCTTCTTTGTTTACTTACAAACTTCTTGCCTTTTCCGGGTCTCACCGTTTATTTATTTTTTTTTTTTTACCTAAACTAAGCCAAGCTTCGTAAATATCAGCCTCGGGGAACTGTTCTCCCTCAGCAGGCAGTACTTTCCCTATATAATTAACAGAGGGAGGGTCAATCCCAGATGTCCGAGACGCCCCATAAGAGTTGTGCTGAGAGAGAAACTGAACAATTTTTTTGTTAACTAACCATATGTACGTATGGGTTTTCTCCACACTGTAAACACGGCCGTTTTCCATATTCCGTTCGAGTGAGCCATGGCGTAAAAATTCGTACTTACTTGTGACCTTGTGCCGGGTTCAAATGAACACTTACCATACTCCATGGTTTTAAGGATAGCCCCCCCAAAAAAGGCAGAGGTGTAACAAAGAAGTTTTCGAGGGAAGGCATCATTTGTCCACCGCAAAAAGAATTCGCATGGCAACATGCATTGTTTGTAGCCGTAAACAGAATTAATTTCGGTACAATTTGAACCTGAGTCTTGTATTGACCAGTTGAGGTTGAGTAGAATGAATGCACAATAGACAGGATGTTGAGAGTGACGCGATTTGCCTATACATAATAAATCTAAACACTCGGATTGAATAATTTGCGATACAATAAAAGAACAAACAAGATTAACACCCAGGAGTCGGGTGAAAGGCATTCTTAACGGTGTTTCTAAGGACAGGCAGGAAGAGCAAGAAACTGAGACAAGTCACCATGTCTTTTTTCTTTGTTTTACTTTCTTTTTACATCAGACTATTTCGGCTTTGCTACTTATTTATTTACTTCACCAAAATGGCAACGCTGAAACTCAGCAGCGGCGTAATAAAGCCTCTCCATGTTGACGGAGATGTGGTGTCATGGCTCAAGAAGCTGCGGCTGGTGGCGAGACTTCAGAAAACAGAAGACTTTTATATTTGGAGGGAGACGCGCTCCAACTCTATTTGGAGATGGACGAGGAGCAGCAGACGAACACCGACCTGATTAAAGTCCGGTTGAAGGAGGCTTTTTTTTCGGACGGGGCGTTCTCTGGTTACGGAAAGCTTAAACTGGTTAGGTGGGCAGAAGAGCGCGTGAATGTTTACACCAACAAAATACAACTTAAGACGGCGATAAAGCTGACATTCGTGGCAGGGTTTCTCAACGGAATTGCAACAAATACCGGCCATCGAAAGTTAACCATGGGGGATTTGCTGACATGGGCGAGGGTACTGACAAGAGATACGGCCGAAGATACGGTTGGAGCCACGCAGCTATCTCGCAGTGAGTTATGCTCAAGGTGAATCCCCGAAAAGGCGTCACCTTTTACAGGTGCAGAGGCCATGGTCACATGGCTAGAGACTGCGCAACGAGACGGCCCGATGGGGCAAGTACCCGGAGATCGCGCCAAGAGATGCGATGCTTTAGGTGCAATAAGATCGGTATCAGAATGCCAGGGAAACGGTTCGGTTAAGTACAGGACTGACATTTTAAGGGATCTAACGGTACTTACGCGAGTTTAGATTATCACCAAAGGAAAATAAAGAATGAGTTCAGATACTCCCCAAATTCTTGGATTGTTAAGGACATATTTATCATTTTTCGAAGAGGAAATCTCAAGATGGATATAATGCGGTTATTGAAACTTTCGATGGCATCGTTTAAAGGAGTCTTTTTGTTGGTGACATCGGGAGCCCATCGTTGAGTGTTACCATTTCGGCACTGGATATATGACGAGTGCGGGTAGCTTAACGGTTATCGGTGCAGTTACAATGTTACATCAAGAAACGCTGAAGATACATCGACGCTTAGCTTTGAATTAAAATTTTAAAATGTTTGAAGCCTATCGAATCTAGATCTGACACGATCTCGAACAACTTTTCTAGTGCTTTTTCTTCTCGCTCAAGTTTTATAGATATTCGACATTAGTTTTCTTCGGCAAGGAGATCCGTTTTATAATCTTGGATATAAATTTACCACGGAAGATCCTAAAATTAGTGCACTTTCAATACATTTTCGCCTTACCCTTTGAATTAAAACTGCATTCTTATGTTGAATTGGTCATTCATTTAGCTAGTATTAGTCTGTCATATAGATGTATACATTAACAGCGCAGCTCCTACATAGATAGAGAGATAGATAGATAAATAGATAGATAGAAAGGCTGGAAACTCGAAATTGTCATTTATTTACCTATTAGTCTGTCATATAGATGCGTACATTAACAGTTCAGTTCCTACATATATAGATAGATAGAAAGAAAGAAAGAAAAAAGAAAAGTGTCGTAAGTTGAATTTGACATACATTTACCTAGTATTAGCCTGAAATATAGATGTGTACATTAACAGCTCCTACACAAACAGATAGATAGATAGATAGATAGATAGATAAAAGGATGGGAAGACGAATTTGACATTCATTTGCCAACTATTGCTTTGACATATAGATGCGTATAGTAGCAGTTCAGTTGATAGATAGATAGATAGATAGATAGAAAAGGTGGAAACTTGAATTTGTCATTTATTTACCTATTAGTCTGACATATAGATGTGTACATTAGCATCTCAGTTCTTGGGTTTAGAAACTTTTTTGATAATTCTACAGATAGATAGATAGATAATGAATAGAATGAGTAGATCAATAGATGTAGAGAGAGAATGTGTCTGTGAGAGAGAGAGAGGGGGCGTGGTTTAATGGTTAGCAAGCTGCTTTAATGACAGAATAAAGGTCAATAACCTCGGTTCGTAGATCATTGCTATCGAATAGCCAGATCGATATTCACTGGTTGGCCGACCTCCAAATCTGGCTTCATGTTAAATCCAAGCTACGTCTGCAGATGCAAGAAAACTGAACGAAAATTACAAACAAGTATTACATAATTTACACTACTTACATGCGGACTACTGTCCTCATTTTTGTTGTTGTTATCATAATATTTCGGACGTTGAGCCCTCCGGCCTTCACCACGTCTATGTCACTCCAGGTAATCTAACATATACCGGGATTTTTACAGATGTCTATTCGGTGTGCTTTCTTGTCTATTATTTTAATTTCATTCTACAGGGGTTGATGAGTACCATTTCCCTACATACATGATCAGCCATAACCGATTTCATTGTCCCACCCTCACTACAGTTTATCAGCACGACACAGTGAACCAACTTTCTTACCGGCTGACCTAGCAATGGATTCAATATAATTTTTCCATTTTATGTCAGCCGAGAATGTTAACTCAAAAAGGCGCAACGCGTCGCTCTTCTGAAGGCTAGCATCAGCCATGCTGATGGAAGACAGAAAGTGATCTCTCAGATGATTAATAGAGAGAAGTTTTGCTTTGGAAGCGTTAAAATCAACAATATTATTAGTCATGATCTGGCGTCTTGGCTTCAGTCACTTTCACACCGCCGTCAAGTTGCCTCCCTGTGCCCTTTCTAAAAATAACTTCATGGTAATTGTTCGGATGAGATCTTCGCTATAGAACCTAGACTTTATTAACTTGAGCGTAGTACTAGTCTGGAGACAAGATTTCATCAATTTACAGTCGAGTTAGATTTAGCCATAATTTCTATGCCAACAGTTTCTTTTCTCGCACTTCTTGATCGTGGAACTCTATTCTGGCTCTATGTTTTCCAGTCAACTTTAATCTTCTAAAATTTAAATGCAAAACCAATCGCTATCTGCTGTCATCGTCATTCTTTTGTTCTCGCCCCTTACTAATGTTTCTGTTTTTTAATTCTTCCACACCCAGTAACCCACTTGCGTCTTAGTGGCTTTAATGCCTTGCTTAAAAAGACTGTACAAGCTTAGAATTAGTGTTCATGGAGATTTATCCTTGTCAATCCCCTGCCTTTTGCGTTGAACATTGTTGTATATAACTCATTATTTCTCACCTGTTAGGATATATTTAAGGAACGGTACTTAGCTGTTACGTGACATCGGTCCTTCTTTACGGCAACGAATGTTGGACAATTTCTTGAAAGATGAAGAAGAGACTCGAGGCGACGGAGATGTGGTTCTACAGAAGGATGCTAAGGATATCATGGACCGAACGTGTGAGCAAAAACGGGGTCGTAGAGTGGATGCAAACAAGGAGGAGGCTTATACTTGATATCAGGAAGAGGCAGCTAAAGTTTCTAGGTCACATAGTGAGGAAGGAGGGCCTGGAGAATCTGATACTCACGGGTCGAATAGAAGGAAAGAGAGACAAGGGAAAACAACGTGTGACATACCTGGCAGGCATAAGCAAGTGGATGACAGAACGTGGTCTGGGGGAGGAAGCAGAGGGAAGGAATTTGTTGAGAGCTGTAAGGGATAGAGGGTGGTGGAGAGCCATGATCGCCTACGTCCTAAAAAGAAAAAAGAAATCAGGGTGATTCGTTCATCATTACAAAAAAACGGAAATAACTTATGACTCACACTCATAGTTGATGTCAGGGTGGAGACGAAAAGATTTATATTCATATTTGAAGCTCAGAATTAAAGTCAATGAAAATATTGGATTGATCTCCTAAGCTAGTAAGTTAGTCTCACTTAGGAGAATGGCGTAACACCATCTTCCTCGACCCATTCCTCACACCAACCCCCACCCCACCCCCAGTATGGCCTTGCAGAGTACAAACAGATAAGGACGGGAATTATCAAGAAGTGATATCGTTTAAAATAGCGGGAAAGAAACGTAAATGAAAGTGTACACGTAAACAAAAAATCGGTTACGATCGAGATGTGTTGATACCTACGACCGACTTACTTTAATTAACAAGTCCGAATTCAGATTATATCGGTTTAAATATACGAGGGACGCTCCGAATGTAATGCCTCCTATTTATTTATACAGAAGTTACAAAAATACAGGGAACACAGCAACACCATTGTATAAAGCAAGTATTCGGTTATAAAAAGCTATTTTTTTTTACATATATATATATATATATATATATATATATATATATATATATATATTGTTAAAGTTTTTTATTGTTAATTCGGCACAATTTTAATATTTAAAAGTTATTTTCAATAGGTACCTGTATTTGAGTAGAACGTCCTGTTTTCGACGAGATAAAACAATTTTAAAAATAGAACGTTCTACTCAAATATGGGTATCCTCTAAAAATAAGGTTTAACGTAATACACACACACACACACACACATATATATATATATATATTGCCATTCCTAGACAGACTGTTTTGTTGTATCACAGCTCATCAGTGTGGCTAGACGTCTGGTTGCTTCTAGCTAGGATCGAAATCGAAACCCGGCTGAATTGGCGTAAATCGGACATTGTACCGTTGGCAGATGAATTTAAGCGTATTTATTTTTAGATAAACACGCAGTGACTGAGAGAACTCGATTCGCTTTAGCGAAGAGTCTTGTACTATTAGCAGTAATAGTCCCTGTTTACAAACTCACACTTCCTCCTACACACCACATATATATGCGACAAAATAGACTTCAGCATTCTTGTTCCAAAAGTGTCAATTCTCATCATTGGTGTTAAAGGATTGGAGTCATGACTCCTTCCATGATAGTACGGTCTAATGATAATGAAAATATTGCATCCCAACAAAAAGAAAACATTAGTAAGGAGAGATAACGATAAAAGAACAAAAATTAAGAAGACAGAAGATAACGATTGACATTGCATTTAAACAGTTTAAAAATGGAACGTTCTACTCAAATATGGATATCCTCTAAAATAACGTTTAAAGTAATATACATACACACACATATATATATATTGCTATCCACAGGCAGACAGCTCATCAATGTGGCTAGACGTCGGGTTGACTCTAGCTAGGATCGAAACCCGGCTGAATTGGCGTCAGTCGGACATTCTACCTATCGCTGGCAAGTGAATTTAAGCGTATTTATTTTCTAGACTGAGAGAACTCGATTCGTTTTTACTGAAGAGTCTTGCATTATTAGCAGTAATGGTGACTGTTTACTAACTCACACTTCCTCCCCTGAGAGCTCAACCGAAATAAATGTTGAAAGAAAGGGTCATTTTTAACATACATATTGTCATCCACATACAGACTGTTTCGCTGTACCACAGCTCGTCAGTGTGGCTAGAGATCCGGTTGCCTTTAGCTTGGATCGAAACTCGGTTGAATTGTCGCCAGTCGGAGATTCTACCTCTAAGCCGTTGGCGCACGCACGGATGAAGGTGAATTTAAGTGTATTTATTTTTAGATAAACACACTATGACTGAGAGAACACAATTCGTTTTACCGAAGAGTCTTGTATTAGTAGCAGTAATAGTCACTGTTTACAAACTCACACTTCCTCCCCATATATATGCGATAAAATAAAGAGTTCATCATTCTTGCTCCAAAAGTGTCAACGAATTGCATCATTCTTATCATTGGTCATAAAACACTGAAGTCCTGACTCCTTCCATGATAGTACTGTCTAATGATAGTGAAAACATTATTTCAGTCATTTCATCCCAAGAAAAAGAAAACATTTTTACATTTCAGAGTTTAGTTGGAAAAACCTGTAAAGGGAGGATTTATGTTTTCCGTGAACTTTCGCTTCAGAAGCGATTATAAAGTTCTACCATCTGCAGGAATCTTTTAACCTGGGATGCCAACCTTTCAATTTTGCATCACATTGTTCCAGGTGATAAAAACGAAAATTATTGTACTTACGACAAAATGGGAAACCCTTATTGACGCAAAAATCAAAACTCTATCCCCAGAATCGCTTGGATTGTGTGTAGCGAAAGATGAAAGTGTTGTCCATTACGATCATGTGGAACATGGAAGGACCATTACTGAATACCTTTATTGCCAGTAAGGCGTCCGTGTAAACGAAACCTTATATCGAAAGTCTCCTTTTCTTTGCTAAATAGAAGATATTAATATTCATCATGACAATACAAGTGCATACGTTCTGCAAAGTAAAGGCAGGACAAAACAAAAGGTCGCTAAAACTGAAGTTTTCTACACTTTTTCATACTCAACAGATTTAGCAGCGAAAGATTTAGCATTTATTTCAGTAGGACATTTCATAAATGGTGGAACAGACAGAAACAGAAATTGAAAACAATGTCTCATACTTTTTTGTGGAAAGACCCAAATTTCTTTAAATGTAGAATCGAAAAATTTAATTTAAATTTGTTTTTATATCCGTTTTGGTAAAACGTCATTACTTTTTGAACAGCCTAATATTTAAAATAAATTTAATTTAAATTTGTTTTTATATGCGTTTTGGTAAAATGTCATTACTTTCCAAACAACCTAATATTTAAAATAAATTTAATTTAAATTTCTTTTTATATCTTTTCCAGTAAGACATAATTACTTTCCGAGTACAAATCTTTATTTACTAGTATCTTTTGAAAAATTTCTGGTTTCGGACACAATAGTGCTTTCCAATCTGTCGCAACCTATCCCTCGATCAAGCAAGCATTTTAGACAGTTCACTTTTTCTGTATCGTGTACATTGAAGGAAATTTTGTAAAAAGGAATAACGCTCTTAAAGTCTAAATGATGGCTTCGATCTCAGATCAAATAATTTTATCCCAGCAACACCGTTTAATGAATTTTGGCTTTATCAAACAAGCCTATCGACGTACCCCATGCAGCAATGCAAATGAGTATACACACGTGCAGATCAGAAAGGAACTATTTTAAGGTTGCTATGGGAACGGCTTAATTGCACGAAGCGTTTTGACGTAATGAAAATCATACCGACCTTATTTCACGTAGAGAAAACATAAACAGTGAAAAGTTTTTACTATAAAAGAAAGAAAAAATACAAGCAATATGTCTTAGAAAGACTCCATGCCGCATTATCTTCACAAATAACGATTTTTGACACGTCATGTCCCAGTCGGGGCATAACTTCCGGTAACATGCTGGTGGTTTCCGCTAGGATATTCTCCGCGGTTCTGATATGCTTTTACTAACTTCATCAGAAGCGTTCAGGTTAACCATTGATGGCGGAAAGAAAATATCTTGAGTGAAAAACTGAAAAACAACGCAATGCTCTAACTTGTTGGCTGCTTAAATACATGTAGTTAATGGATTCTATGATCGATTTCAAAAACTGTTTAAGCTCTCTCTCTGTTCGTATGTGAAATCTTGTCATACGAATTCGGATGGATTAAGTCAGCAACAGAATTAGACCCGAAATAGGACAAGAACAGTGTAATTTTGTGAGAGAAACTGGAACAAGGAATGCAATGTTTATGCCCAGAATGATATCAGAAACAGCAATAGAAATGCAAAAGGATCTATACCTATGTTTTATAGATTATGCAAAATAATAAACTAGGTCACAAAGAAATATTTGAACTTTGTCATATAGGAAGAAAATGAGTAACTACCGACACCGAGATTCGAGCGTGACACACTGGACTTATGAATATATGTTATCTGCCAGGTGTAGGAATAGCGGTGTCAGACTACTGACTGAAGTGATTATTAGTGGAACTATCCAGTCGAATTAGTGTGAATTATTGTACGTCGATGATTTGGGTCTTGATTTAAGATTTACCGAACAGAGCCGCGCTACTAACAAGGTATTCACTGAAATGGTTAATTATCTTTGGTTGACATTTTAATTCTTTGTTTTTGTTAAGTATCTATTTGCGGTTCTAATTAAATACAGTTTGGTCTTAACATTGAAGTCTTGAGTTATACTTAATCATTAACGGCTATCGTGCGTCACAAAAACTTCTAGAAAGGCTTGATTTATTTGGAAAAGATATTTGAATTATACAGAACTTAGAGTAAACGGTTTGCATACGGATAGAAAATAAATTCAGTAAATACAGAAATATTGAAAAGGGAAAGAGAGAAGAAAGGACTAAGTCAAAACGGAATGGATATTTGTCAGCAAAATGCACAGCCCAACATGCGAATTACAAATTGGAGATACCAAAATCAATATTTAAATATTTAAGAAGTGTTTTAGCAAAGGACAGAAAATGTGACTTTGAAAACGGAAGGTACATTGATTTCCAAAACTAAACAAAATATTAATAAACAAGAAAATTACGTTAGGAACAAATAAAACAGTGCAGAACTGCTGTGTAATATCTAATTTTTAATTAGAACAGAGAAAATGCCTTCAGGGATCTAAGCAAAGTATTAAGAAACAGGAAAAGTTCATTAGAAACAAAAAGAAAAGAGTACTGAACTGCTGTGTGATATTTATTTATTTTTTACAATAGAACAGTGATAGATACCTTCTGGAAACTAAGCAAAGAATTAAGAAATAGGAAAATTTCATTACAAACAAAGAGTACGGAACTGTTTTGCAATATTGGTCCTCTTATATGGTGGTGAATTCTGGGTAATCTCCTCACAGATGAAGAAGATAATTTAAGCAGCAGAAATGCTCTTCTACAGGAGGATACAGGGAATGACATAGAATGAACAAAGAAGAAGAACCTTTCATCTAACTGCAGGCATAATTCTTCTCGAGTGCGACAAAGCGTAAAATAAAAGTCTTTCTGGTTGAGTGTTGATTTTCTAACTGTATCTTAGATGTGACTCAAGGCCGAAAGTATGGAGTCCCAAGTGATGATTGAACTCACTATTCAGTCATAATTGATCTAGCAAGACAAGTTTGCTAACCATTACAAATGCCCATTCTTCCTTCTAGATTGGCTGAGAAACAGCCTGAACGCTGTTACATTTTTGGCGAGAGAACGGAAAAAAAACGTGTGATCTTGTAGTGATTTTCCAAGCGTAGCTCAGATGTGGCACAAGGCCGAAATTAGGGGGCACCCAGAGAGGATCGAACTCACTACTCAGTCGTAATTGTTCTAGCGAGTCAAGCTTGCTAACCATTACACCGCCTCGAGGTGCCCCAACGGCCGATCTTGTATATCGAAACAATGTCTTGTCTGATGATGACACACAAACAGAGATATATCGGGGCTGAACAAAAGTAAAGGATGCTATCATTTAAGACTTGGATGAAGAATAAGGAATGGGGTATGTTATTTTGTAATACCGCTTCAAAAAATGATATTTAATAACACACGGCCATTATCCACCTATACATAAATTAAAATTTGTGCGTTTGAAATTTTTATCTGACATGACTGGACACACAGTCTAAAAAAATATCTATAGAAAGTGTAATGATTGCTAAATCATCCACAGTAAATTTGCATCTAGGTTCTTACAACATTTCACCTTTATTGGTAGATTTTCTGTTATCAGAATGCAGGCTACTTAAAAACAAAAACCATAAAAATAAAACCAAAAGTATGCGGAAAATAATTGAGATAGGCTAGACTGTGTCTACACACGTCGGATAAACATTTAAAACTCATAAATTAAAAAAAAAGAAATTGTATTTTTGTCTGTGTGTGTAGAAATAGTGTTTCCTACTTATCATGTTGTCACATTATTCTCCATATTCCGAGATAGTAAGAAACACTAAAACTATTTCCGCACACACAAACACACACACACAAAATTAATCCTTGTACAATGAACCTATGCGAATTGCCACTGAGGTTTAATAAAACTGAATCCGTGATACTTGAACTGCTTAACACATTCTTGTCATTTAGCCACGCTCACTGAACTATGACACGCCCAAGTTGTGACAACAAAATGTTATAACCATCAATTTTTAACGCAAAAATTACTATGGTGATCACGTGATCAGATTCAACAAATCAAATTTAAATAGATAGCAATCTGAGTCACCTTTTTTTCTGCATAAAACGGAAAGGATTCTCCAACTCCAGCGAGATGCGAATCAAATCATGGCCTGGCCACACGTCTCACCATCTTCATTTAACTTCTGAAATCGCAAAAGTTACTCTAAATAAATATTCTTAAAGACTTAAGCGTCATTTCCAATTTCTTATTCCGATATCTTTTTTACACGTGTGGGATACATAAAAAAACTTACTTTCTTATATATATATATATATATATATATATATATATTGAAAAATTATGCATGAAAAAAACTAATGACAACAAAATGTATGTGCCTTTTGTCTTCTAAATTTATTGCATAAGTTTTAAAGGTTATTCGGTTTGAAGACCGATATCCCTTGAAAGCTTAACAAACGCTTACAATGATATTATGTGATGTTCATGCTTGACGACAAGGGGATAACCATTTGATATGAACAGATAGATAGATAGATAGATAGATAGATAGATAGATATAAGATAGATAGATAGATGATAGATAGATAGATAGATAGAATAGATAGATAAATGAAGATAGAATGAGATAGATAGATAGATAGATAGATAGATAGATAGATGATAGATGTGGTACGATCCACCTAATTTACATAGTGGAGTACCGACCATATAAATATGGGTTGGTACCAGGAAGACGAGGGAAGTAACAAGAGATCCAATCCAGAGACTCTGCCCGACTGCGATTAAGTCAACCCATTCTACAGGAACAGTCTTCCCAAGAATATACCAAAACTAACTGTAAATATTGTGTACCTTTTCCTTGTTTCAATACATTTTGTTTACGTACATTTTGTGTTGTATTATTATTATTTCATGCTTATCCAAGCTTCAACAATAGATAATGAACTGAATGAGATAGATAGATAGATAGATAGATAGATAGATAGATAGATCAAACCTTAAAACTTCAACAGATCAATATTGTCTATGAATTCCCTTGCCCACTTGGAGAATGATTCTCTAAAAGCACCAATTCAAATACATATATTGATTTCACAGCAACCACATAATCGCGTCTTTTAACGTGTCATTTACCTGTTAATAACTGAATCGAATCATATATCAGTAACAGCCCAACGGGAAATGTACAATAACAAAAGGTACTCCATCACACCATAAACTATTTCAAACCTTCAGCTTTCCAAAGAATTCCAGGATTATGACAAAGGAATCCTGCCTACCACACAGCTATCAATTGTTTTTTGGAAATAACTGAACCAATCGAAAGTAATTAAACAACACAACGCAAATCTTCGGTCAGTTTATCGATATTTTTGATAACAATACTCAACACCTCATTGAAAAAATATACTAAACAGAGTTTCTTACTGTTTTTTGATCAAACTTATTTGGATGAACACTTGCTTGCTGCTTAAATATACATTATATGTGAAGATACCGAAAGGTTGAAACCAAGGTAGCGTGACTGGCTAATCTCCTAATTTTTTTGAATTCAAAAGCTCTGCATATTAAATTTTTATTTCATTTTCTTTATACGTGTATTGAGCACTTTTTAATACTACTGTTTCCTGGTCTAAGTCATCTATTACCAATAACTTTTATATATATATATATATATATATATATATATATATATATAAAGAAATATAGTCTTAAGGTGTGCTATATTTATGGGATAAAGTGCTCAATATCAGAGATAGAGCGTGTGTAAATATAAAAGTGAACATAGGCGAAGTCTGTTTCATATATGCAATCGTCAGGCCTGACGATTGCATATAGCATGAAACAGACTGTCGCCCTAATGGTGACTTCTATGTTCACTTTTATATTTATATGTATATATATATATATATATATATATATATATATATATATATATATATATATATATGTCTGACTGAATAAATTATAGACATTATGTCTGCTAATTTTTTAACAAAATCCGTTCATACTCACGAATAACCTTCCGTGTATTTATATTAAAGGATGAGAGAAATGAACTATAGCTATTAAAATTTTTTTTATTTTCATTTCTCAAGTACTTTCGATCTTCTTCCACGATCATCTTCAGTGCGGCCTTTTTTATTTACATACGCTCTGTCCCAGATATTGAGTATTTTAACCTATAAATATAGCATACGTTAAAAGTATATATATATATTTCTAAAATATAAATGGATTTTATTTTCAATCTGACATATTTTTATCACATCAAATGTTATCTTTGGAGGATACCCGTATTTGAGTAGACTTCCCGTTTATTCTAAACAGTATTTATTTCGTTATTCGTCCTTTTCTCGGTAGACTAAGTGAATACTGTTTAAAATTAAAATGAGCGTCTACCCAAATAAGAGTATTCACTAAAGTTAACGTCTGAAGCAATATATATATATATAAGTGATAGAAATTATTAGGAGGATTTGAGGTAATTATAATTAAGTAATTCATCGAGTCTAGAAGAAACCTCAATAGAATGCTGAAAGCACTGGTCGGCTGTTTCGACTTATATTTAGGACTCATCAGCAGTGCGCATCCACAACCGAGAATTGAAACCCGAACAGTTACGTTATTAGGTAAACGTCTGCCAACTGCACAAACGGGCCACGTTAACGAAGAGGCGGCGAATTAGACTCGATATAGCGCCGCTCGATCACAATCGCTATATATATAAACAAAAACACTTAAAGTGATAATATATATCGTGAAACAAAAATTCAGTACAACGGATAGTCAAAACATTTGAAGTGATTATATATATATATATATAATTGAGTGATTATATATATATTATATATATATATATATATATATATATATATGTTATCACTTTAAATGTTTGAAGTGATTATATATATATATATATATATATGTCTGACTGAATAAATTATAGACATTATGTCTGCTAATTTTTAACAAAATATATATATATATGTTATCACTTTAAATGTTTTAACTATCTTTTTGCTTTCAGACAATATTGTCCATGTTCATTAAAAGCAATTAAAAGCTTTTCAAATTAAATAATATTTTTTGTTTTATTGACTTTTCAGAGATGATTACAGGTAGAGGTAATCCAACTAAAAAAAAACAAACATGATTTGATTTCCTCGAAGCCTTGTGCTTTTAACTAATATAATCACTAATCTTCCCAAAATTGAAATTATAGAGTTTTCGTACAATTAGTTGGGGTGGTGGGTAATACATATGAAAAAAAAATATTTTTGCCATGACTTAAAAAAAGAAAAACATATTTATAAGTTCCATCATTTGTAAATAGTTTCTGAAAGTTTCATTAAAATCCGACAATTATTTTTATTTTTGCAAGATTTTCAAAATTAATGTCTGTCATACAGAAAAAAAAAATGGGCTAAAATTTTATGTTATTTTACTAGTTCCGGTGACACAAAGAGAAACAAGGTTTTTTTTAATCAAAATTTAGAATGTTCTAAAAAGAAGGAAAAATTTGAAAAAATACTTTGATCTTTGCTTTCAATAATAACATAAATAATTAGACGATGAAATTTTGTTTTCCTCAAGTTTGGCGTCTTTTTCATCATGCTATGCTCTGTTTGTAGATGTCATGAAGATACCTGTGCGTGTGTGTGCGTGTGTGTGTGTGTGTATTTTATCACTTTAAATATTTTGACTATCCGTCGTGCTGAATTTTGCTTCACGATCACGATTAGCAGGGGAGATATGTCTAGGACAAGATAGCCTGATGGAACTCAACCCCCTTGTATTCGCTACAGTCATGATTTTCAAAAGACAATCACGGTCGTAGGGGTACCACACGTCCTGCTGTCGCACTGACAGAGGTGTTTCCTAGGCAACATAGCCTGACGGATCCCATCCCTCTCCAGTATGATTTTGAATTCACAGTTTTACTTCTAGATCCGTTGACTATCCAAGGCCATAGAACCCAGTCTGTTCTGCTATTTACCTATAGTTGGGGGAGAAAAGATGGATTCTCAAGCGTATAGGCCCGTAAGTATAAATCGACTGTAATTTGAACTCAGCTCTCTTATACCCTAATCCGAGCCTCTATCCATTATGCCACCCTGCATAGAATTTGTTATCGTCAATTTCTCTCTTTGTTCCTGTCTGAACTCTTCGTTAAAGTGCACATATGTTTGTGCGGCTGGCGGACTTACTACATGCATGTGATAGCTACTGCTTTATTGTTTAAATTTCTGTCACAGATTAACAGTACACATGTGCTAGCGTGTTACACACACACACACACACACACACACATATATATATATATATATATATATTCAAATGCTAAAAACAGATTGACTGTACTTAGGTTCAAATTTCTGTTTCTTTACACCGAGAGTGAAACTGCACTATTGTTCAAGTCTTTCGTTACGTTGGCTGTTTGTTTCCACCACTAAATGTCATTGTTCCACTGCTAGTCAAGGTGAAGGTCTGAATTCAGTATTTCCGGGATACCATACTGTCCATAATGTTAATAACGCCCGTAAGAAAGACTACTAAATGTAATCGAGATGGTAATTGGGAAATCATCCATGTCGGGAGTCTGTTCCACAAAGTAGCGGCTCTTGGGAAGAAACTGTCCGAGCGGAACTTCATCCTTATTAATGGAATACGAAAGGGATGGGGAGGATTCGCTCTTGTGTACGTGGCAGGGCAACCCCCAGTTGTAAAAGTCGGGGCTGCTGGGAATAAGGAATAGCTCATCAAAACGCATGGAAATAGCGATAGAGCAGTGAGAGGATCTCGGCGTTTTTCGTCTGTGGGAAACGGGTGGTAGGGTTGAAAATGATTTTCCTCCCAATCAGTTTTTCCTTCCTTCCTGGGATGCTATATCAACGCATCAGAATTCTCGAGACCCTCTGTTGAATTCGGGCCATTATGGACTTATATTCAAAACTCAAACAAAGGCAACCCATCAGAATGTCCCGCCCACGAGTCACTCCGGACCAAGTTAACAGAAGCATTATTTTTTAATCATTTTTAAATTTTAAAAATCTTTATTTTTTTAAAATCTAGATACACCATGAACACGCTTCAATCTTGGAATCAAGTCTTTGTCATTTGGTATTTTAAACTGGATGCTAAATTCTTTAACAGAAGAAAAGAGGCTGGCCACTATATCTGCCGATCATGGCTTAGAAATCAAGCCTGTAGATGAATTATTTTATCTTTAAAAAATCTTTATTTTTAAAAAGTTAGATATTTTGTTGTCTCTTTTCGATTTATGATTGACTAAGCGAAAGAATTCCAGAAGCAGATTATTGTTACTTTCTACGGTAGACTGGTTGCCAGCCAAGGCTATAGGACCCAGTCTGTCCTTATATTTAACTCATGGAGGTACAAGAAATGTCTGTGGGAAACAGGTTGTAGGGTTGAAAATAATTATTCACCCACAAGTCCGCGTAGATGTCTGTGAACTCTATCAAGACAGGCAATTGATGATTGGACAACTCCAGCCCAGATGTGGCAGCCATACTCTATATTACTGGTCTAATCTGTTTCTTGCAAAGATAGAGCACACAAGGAAGAATCAGATGCTTACTGAAGTGCTACAATGAACCAACAGTTTCCCCATTATCTTTAGCAATAAATCGTATAGATGTGCTTCAAGGTCAAAGCTTGATTCCCAATAGACGTTCAAGGCAAGGAGCCTCTTCGAGAGAACGCCCGTCCATCATGATAGGTGAAAGATTGGGGTCAGCTCGGTGTCGGTACTAGTTTGGTTTGGGCTGAATTGAATTTTACGAGCCAGTCCTCCCCATACTGCGCCACCTGAGCTACGTCCAAGAAGAGATGAGTTGCTAGGTTCTGGTCTTCCATATTTTTAGAGGTCCACCTATAAACAATTGTATCATCCGCATACTCACTCAAGATCGAGTATGCTGTTAGGCAGATCATTAATATACAATAGAAAGAAGGTAGGACCGGAGAAGGGAC